GATAAAAGCTGTTGTTGTTTGGTTGCTGAGAAAGCTGAGGCGGCCATTGAAAACAAAGAGCAGGAACTCGGCGCTGGTTTTGGACGCCACAAAGCGTGACGCGCCGCACTCGGTGTGGCAGTCTATGGCCGGTAACCAAACAGCCCCCTAGTACAATATCATGCTACATGTTGACTCTCTCATTTTAAATTATAAGACGTTAATGACTTTCTAGATAGATAGCTTTTGATATATTTAAAAAATGTAAAACTCTTATTGCTTTCTTAAAAGCAAAGTTGATCTCCTTTAAAAAAAGATATATTTAAAAAATGTCAAAACGCCTTTACAAGCAGCCTAACCCTATACTACACACTATGCAGTCAAATTGACAGCACAAGGTCTCCGATTAACTCGTATAGATCGGTGGTGACAAACTAGTGGTCTCATGCATGATGCTATATGCTATTATAAGAGATAATAGTATCTGTTTGGAGATAGTATTTGTTTGTTTGCTACGTGTGCCCAAATGGCAAGTTTACATGCATGTAAATAAATAAATGTAATAATATATATGGTCACGTACGGCTAGCAAATTAACAAAGGGTGGACGCGTCGTCATGCTCATGCTCATGCTCATGCATGCATGCCTTGATATGATGCAGCCTTCTTCGTGTGGGTGGGTGGGAGTGGCACAACGGCGCCATCAGCAGGCACACCACAAGTGGTCGACCAGCATGGCCACTCGGCACTTTCGGCGTTGGCGTTTGGCATGTCGCTTGCAACTTGCCGTGGGCCGTGGCAGTGAGGCCACCGTTGGTCCGTTACACTCACACAACCAGCATGTGGCTGGGTACGTGCACAGTTCATCCCACATCCTACGAACTGTACACTGTTTGCTTCTCGAGCAAATTCTTTTAGCTCTGACAAAACAACTACTCTTGCCTAATACTCTTCAATGATGTACGCATATTCAGATACTTTAGTTTCTGTTTCCTCATCGCTCAAACAATATTGGCATGTGCTCCTACAATGCCCGAAAAATGCTCTGTGCAAGACAACCATGCATATGTGCTTCTATATTGCTCTTGTTCTTATATCTAATATTTTGAGTCAATGTAGAATCCTGTTAAACATCATGAATTTATTATCTGCAATGCTGCCTTTGTGTAATGACAATCACTACTGTTTTCTTTGTCAATAATTTTCATAGCAGGAGGGTGTCATATGCATACCATGTATACGCAGTAATTGGTCCCAAATATCAACATTAGGCTAAGATGACTAGAGCCAGTGGCGAAGCTACGTTACGCGGTCGGGGTCGTCCGACCCCGACGACTCGGCGACCGATGCTGGTAGCGTGCGATTTTGGCCAGCATAGACCCCGGCAAAAAAGAATGTATGACCCCGGTAAATCGCAGGCCTAGACGGTGGCCAGCAGCCTAGCGTGGCAGGGCCCAGCCGGCCAACCTTGCAACACAGCTAGTACGCGTTTACGCAAGCCGCCAGTGCCAAGGGCAAAAGGAAAGCCCAGCCCAGTAGGCAATAGTCCGTTCGTGCCTTCGTACGTGGACGTGCAGCACCAGCATATCGCTCGTCGTTCTCATCCTGGGCTCCTGGCAACTACTGCAAGGAGGCTTCGTCACTCTACCAAGCACCTAGATAAGGTAACCCAAAAGGCCAAATCCCAATTCTTCAACTGCAATGGACGAAGAAAGATCCAATATTCAATTGACGAAGACGGATCCTATTCAAGATTTGTAGAGTTCACCGGTTCCCAATTTGTTCCTTATGTTTCAGAAGAAGTCATCAAATTTCTTTTGTTGATGTTTAGAGTTCCCTAATCCCCAACTGATAAATAAGGATACATTTACCTTTTTCTGTTTTTTTTTCAGTTATAAAACTTATATAAAATAGAAGCAAACAGCAAACAACATCACCTCATATTTTGTTTCTTTATAAAGAAAACAAGCTTCATCCGTTGCGAGAAGGGAATCAGATCAATTATTATAAGGCTTCGTTTGGATGCAGATATTGGAGGGCTTGGAATTGAATTGGGTTGAATACCAAATCAGACTAGTTTTGGAAATGGATACAATACCAAAGGTATTGTTTGGATGCAGATGAAATTGCTAGATAGAATTCAACTGAGTGGTAAATATCAATTCATATTTGGATATCCATATCATCAAATTAGAATTGACAGACAACATCTCATCCCCTCTGGCGTCGGTGGAGCGCAACCCGCCAGCGGAGGAAGGAAGGGAGCGGCGGCAAGGCCCGCCGGTGATGGAGGCAGGAAGGGGCGGGGCGGCCCGCCGGCGATGGAGGCAGGGAGCGCCGGCGCGGCCCGCCGGCAAGGGAGGCAAGGAGCGACGGCGATGCGAGGGAGGCAGGGAGCGGTGGCGCAGCTTCTCGTGTCGAAGACGAAGGGGGTGAGAGAGAGACGCGGGGGGACGGGGGCGACACGATTCCAGCGAATACGGAGGACCGATATACATATTATTTATGTTTCACTCTATAAAACTTGAAGGCTATAATTTATTTTGTTATGACCATGACATCCATAATATAAGTAAATGCCGACGACAATATGACAATACTAAGCCTCTATCAAATTAAAATATAATTTTGATAGATTTTTTTCTCCTATTGCAAAGCACATAAATATTTAGAGGTAAATAAACAATAACTTTAATTTTTATACTATTCATGTGTTGCTTTAGTTAAATATCGAGTTTCATGACCTTTCAGGACCCACAAAAATATGCAATTTCATCTATGATTAAAGTCGACAAGGAGTTATTGCCAGCATGTCAAGGATTGATCTGTCCTCTGATGCAATGTTTGCAGGTCGTCCGATTAATCGCGATTAGTCGTCCTGGTCGGTCCCTGGTATTCGATTAGGAGGACCGACTCGATTAGCTCGACCAGAAAGCTGGTTGTCCGATTAGTCCACAACTAATCGCGATTAGTCGACGTCCGACTAGGACAAGACGACCAGTTTGGTTACTCTGTTTTTGGGCCTGTTTAACTGGGCGGACATGTGGGACTATTGAATGTCAATGTTTGTGACTTTGTGTTGAACACTTTAGCTTATCTGTACTGAACTAATTTGGTTATGTAATATGCTGGCTGTATGGCTGCTATGGTCTGCTAAATGTTAGTTATTTTGCTACTGCAGTAGTGCTGCTGTTCAGGGTGCGTCAAGATCAAGACTGCATTAGTGTCACCAGCTAAACACTAATGCAGTCTTGATGCTTGATTTATATATATATATATATGGATGACTAGATGGACGACTAGGGGCGACTAATCGGCCTGGTCGACGACTAATTGCGATTAGTCTCCTGGTCGGTCCCATGCGACCAGATTCGACCAGACGACCTGAAAACATTGCTCTGATGATTATGACGGAAGACCTCTTTAGATTTTTCACATGCTAGTCCTTATCAGGAGATTGCAGATATATATTTATTTAAATTGGATTAGACAAAAACCTACTTAATATTTCAATTCACATTTTTTATTAGTTGAACCTTGAGCTAATCCAGCTTTTAATAAAATTTCTAATCAAAATTACATCCACAATTTAGCGGTTGAAATCTTTATTTCTTATGGGTGGATCAATGGTTCAAATATGAGTATGTGACATATAGCTATATGGCAGATGAGGCATCAAAGAACCTGACCGCCCTCTCTAAAGGACAAAATCAAACAGAGATTCATATGGCCAGGCTGGTTTACATTTGCTTCGTTCCTTGTAGTGTTTTATTAGTTTGGGATGAGTTTGTAGGCCACTGTCATGACATATGTCATCATGCATGTATACGCGTACCTGTGGAATTTCAAGACGCTCAACAAGGCACTTCGGGTGAACCTGCAACGCTGAATGAGGTAAAAGCTTAGTGTTCATGTCATCGTAATCGGAGTAGCCATGTGACCACGGGCCAATCTTGAGGTTCGCACACACGGCAGGTCTCCACCAGAATAAACCTTCAAATATGGCTGATTCGAGACTGTAAATTCCTCCAGCCCTGGGGTCAGCAACGTGAATGCCTTAAGATTGTAGCAGTAGGTGTCGTCCATTCATCAATTTGTTATAGACAGTGTACAGTTCAGGTGAAGCATAACAGTTGATAATCATCTCGATTTGGTGACCACAATATAGATGAACACCACTTTCTCAAGGTTCAGTGGTTTACATCCAGTTCAGCATATGAACACCACATGAAACACTTCATGGCCACATAATCTTTATCCCTGCAAAAAATAGTTCACAAAGCCATTAAGTTTCAAAATGGTGCACATAAGTTGCATACTGCTAATTCAGTTGCCTAGTTATATGAAACTGAACACTACCAAGCAACATCAAAGTCATAGTGCTTTCAGTAGGAACAATTCAAGACTGCTCTACTTCTCTGAAACACTTTAGCAGTTTGTTCAGTTATCATGCCTAACAGAAACCTATCAGATTCTTGAATGCCTATCATGCCTAATAGAAACCACATAGTTGATACATAATTCAAAGTAAGTTCACACAGCCGTTACAGATGAATGCTCTCTATTTTCAGAATCTGAAAAACAAGGTAGTACTTGGTTTGGTAAACTGAAAATTATCAAATGACAGCAGTAGTTCATGATTTCTGCTGTCAGGATCATAACAGAGAGCACTTGTTGATAACAGAATGTAGGTACTATATTTTTCTTGCAGCACGGTTTGAGCAAACAGACATGCACTTAGTTACAGGGAAATTAGCAATGGAACTTATTCAGCAGGTGATTGCAATTCATCTTCTGGCCACTTTATCTATCTACTTATCCAGGAGTCAAAAGCTTGCATATTCTGGCCACACACTACGAAATTATATAGCAGGTGATTGGGGAAGAAACGGACACATCTGCTAACGATTGGGAAGAACTATATAGCAGGAGATTGGCAGTGTAGGTGATTGGGAAGAAACAAACCCGCTGCTGTGACCAAGGGGATTGGGCTGCCGTCTTGCTGTTGCTGCCACGACCAACTAAGGTGGAGGTCGTCGCCCTGCTGCAGCGCCTTGATCTGCCTTGCTGCCGCCGCGCCATGGGGCTCCGATGCCGCCGCCGAGATCGACACCGCGCACTACAACGCTGTCCTCGAGGGTCTGCTCGTCACCGCGCGCCTCCGCGTCGCCGACAGCGTCCTCCTTAAGATGCGCCGCCTGGGCTTCCTCGAGCGCTGCAGGACCGGCCGCCGCCTGGGCGAGCGCCGCTGGCCCGGCTGCCTGGGCGAGCGCCTCTGTTCCCATCGTCGCCTGGGCTGCGCCGGCTGGCAGCGACGGAACGCGAGCGCCCATGAGCGAGTGGGCCGACGGTTGAGGCCTAGATTGAATGGGCTGGACGAAAAAAAAAAGACCAGAAATTTTACCTTTTATATTATTATTATATATATAGGTATAGATGTATATAGATTGTCCATTGTTTGCGATGTTCTTATTTTGATTTATGTATGCCTCATATTCCAATTCGTATTCTATTCCAAAAAAAATATTGCGTCTTATTTATTTGTGTATACTTCTTGAAAGGAAAAAAAGAGCATTTTTGTCTTTGGAGAAATATTGGCCATTGTTTGCGCTCTTCTGATTCTGATTTTTTGTTTGCCCCATATTCCAATTCGTATTCGATTCCACAAAAGAAGTTTTGGATACAAATCAAATCTAGCTCCCGTGGACCGTACCATTACCAAACCGGTTCCGCCTGTGCTCCCGCTCCCGTGTAGGTGGAGCCACGTTGTATTTGGTATAAAATATGTTGCCAATGGTTTGGACCTTTCTCTCTTCGTCTCTCATTATTAACGTAGTAGATAAAAGTAGAAGAACAAATAGACATAAAATAGAAAGACTATTCTTTATTTCTCTTAATATTGATGATTACAACATAGACCTCCCACATATATATATAGTCCTACCAGGCCTAAGAGTTGGGTAAGAGCCCCACATACAAACGGACTAGGATTAGGATTGTTCCTTCTCCTATTCTTCTTGGATGAGAGTCCGTATGTTTTACCACACTCTCTCTTGGACGATTACCACGATGGCCCCTGTTCGGCCACCATAAAATAGCACTATTCAAATTGTTTTTTCAACGGAATGATTTTTCTCTCACAAAATTCAAGCCAAAAGCAGTTTTTAGCGATTTGACCATAATTCAAATAGTTTAACGGGCCGATATGCACATGCCTCATTAAAAACTCTATCCGAAAAACCCAATTGGAAAAAACGGTTCTTAAAGAAAAAGTACATCGTGATTAGATTAATTGCATTGCACATGTTGTCTTATTAAAACCTTATTTGAGAAACCTTCAAGTAAAAACTCACATAGCGAAAAAGAGTACAACATTTAATCTTCTTGGTCATGTATTCTTCAGGATATTCTATTCCTCATGAATACATATTTATCTCCATGATAAATACATAAACTTCAACGTTTTAGCCAATATAATCTACTTAATCTTTATAATTCAAGTGGTTTTAGTTACCTTCAAGGTAGATTCAATCAAATTGCTGCCCCTCATAAGCCATCCTTTGAACATCATTGTTCAAACCACACTTTTCATAAATATGTGCTTAATAAAGGTATGCAGTACCACAATATTATATCTTTCAAAAGGTTGGCTCATATGAATTATATGGGTATAAATAAGAGCAATATACTTCATGCATAATGACCACTTATTGTGCAAAACAAATAAATTTTATCCTTCAAGATAATAAATCCTTTCAGAGAATTATGGAGGTAAATAAGTTCATATTCAATATCTTCTAGATAGTGTATCAAACTTATACTAAAGTTTGACAGCCTGTTCGTTTGACTGGGCTTATTCGTTGCTGGTTCGTGAAGAAATACTGCTGGCTGGTTTGGTGTGAGAGAAAAATATTGTTTTGGCTAAAAATTTACGATCGTTTACGACAAGCACAAGCCAACCGAACAGGCTGTGAATACTTATAATTCTTTTTAGTGTATTTTTAAATTATATGTTCTATAAATCTTGGGATTTTAATTGTACCACTAAATAATAAATCTAGTTTTACATTTGGCATTTAGGGATAATTCTATTACTAAAATCATCATTATTCTTATACCTTCCGTGGTATTTAGAAGATATCATCACTTTAATGCTAGCTTTGCAATATGCACTTTCTAAGTGTTTGTCACGACACCTTCATGGTGATTTCTCATTTGCTTTCTCTCGGGTCTATATTCACTTGAGGGTTAATGGTGTTTATTTAAGAATCAACTAGTAAATCATTCATGGATTAATTCCTTTAAAGATATTATCATTCTTAACGAATAATATTCTCTTCTATGAGATATATTCTCTACTATATGAGAGATTATTATGTGATATACATAATGAAATAGTGATATTCACTACAAAGTCGTTTAATGACTCTTTTCCTTCTAGAACATGCTCTTCTTGATGTTTTAATATTCATACAGAAATATATATTCTACATTAGACTTCTTAATACTTAGTATGTGATTTAATTTTCATAGATTGCGATTTATATTCTTTGGGAACTATATATGGATCTTCATAATCCATTTATTAACTGCATATTTCATATTCGTTTATTTCATTTGCCAGAGATATAGCTGAACATTTATTTCTTCTTAGTAGGAGATTCAACCTTAATTGCTTTCTTTATTGACCCAATATAATCGCTACAGACGACTTTGCCATGGACTTTGTTTTCCAGATCTGAGTTCTCATAAGAGAAACATTTTTAATTATAGAGGTAGCGTTGTCGACAACTATTATTTTCTCTCAATATTCTCACAATGTGAGATTATTATGTCTCTTTATTATTTCCCAAACAAGAGATGATTTATTGTTCTGCATCCCAACACTAATGATGCGCGCGCTTAGTGTGTTGGATTTTATCTTCATGATGATCCTCTTCATGAGGTTCTTAACCTTCTTCATGAGATGTTCTCTACATGAGAATAAAGGAGTTTTGTTTTATTTCTATTCAACAAGTATACACTAAACTAGAATCTACAGGTTTTTTCGTAGATTTTAGCTTGATAGTATACAATATTTAGTTTACTACTAGTAAACACAACTTCTTGTTTATAACTTTAAGTTGCTCCTCTCATTTTTAAAAATATCTGGCATATGCTCCGCTTTATGCTTTACAAGAGCATTAGTCAAACTATTGTTTGATTAATGCGTGATAATATTCTTACTTAAAGCTTTAAGGAATATTTTTCTCTTATGATCATTTTTCTTCCATGGAAATAATATTTGGCATTAAAAATAGCCTTTCTCTTCCCCTAATATCAATATTAGATCTTTAATAGCATACTTCAAAAGATATCCCCTGTCATGGGCTTAAAATAGTTAAAATTCATGTATCTTCAACTACAAGTGGATGCCCATTTATGTATGCTATGATGAAGTTTTATGAGAAATATTCACGCTTTATATTTAAACACACGGGTTAGTATTCATTAAATGCGATGAGCTAGAATACATAAAGTGCACTTAAGAATGTTCAAGATTCTTATAAACTTCATGGACGTTCTCCACAGTTTTACATATCATAGTTTAGATAACTATTTTATTGTCTAACTTCTTTATTGTTTAGCCAAAAATTGATCTAATTACTCATACATAAAAAAAATGGACCATATACTTCAAATGTATAAAATACATAACATTCAAACTTCACATGAAATTTCTTCTCGAATTTTCTAATTACTATTAATGCAAAATTCCCCAAATATCTTTTTTTATAAATCCCAAATCATCATAAATGTGTTATCCACCATCTTAATTCCACAATTATTTATCCCATCAATTAGGTTAGTCTTCATTGAGCCAATTCCATATTGACTCACTCCCTTGATCTTAGGTGCTTGGCCTTAGACCAATTTGTTGCTTATGCATGTAATGTATTTAAAAAGCAACAAATTCATTACTTTGGTAAAATTATTTTGGCATAACATGCTAGCTAACCAATTTAATTATAAGGGGGAAAAGTAGTAGCTACAAGCTATAAATATAGCTTCCATGCTAATATTCATGCAGGAGTGGAGATAGTTGCGTATTCAACGAGAGCACAAACATAGTGATACATATTCATCTATAATGTGGAATGTTGGTATTCAATCCAACGTAATAGATAACAACAAAATGCAAAGCTACAAGTTTGTTTGCAATTAGTGCAATGTATACAAAGTTAATTAGGTTGGAAGGGACACGGCTAGGACTTCAAGTCCTGATACATGCACTTAAAGATAGATTTAGAAAGGCTATGCCTATTAAATATGTATTACCCACAATTTCTTATGCCTTTATCAAAAATTCCTTCCCCTGATGCCATAATTACTTTAAGTAGTAATATGCTTCATGCATCATCTATGTATAATTATTCCTAATGTTTTATAGAATCCAATCATACTTCTAGTATTCATTGGTTGTGACATAAAAATTATAAATTCAGTGTACAACAACATATTCATGGTAGGACATAAACTTCTAGTTTTGGGCTAAAGTATTAAATACTTAGTTTTAGGATTATACAATTTCTGGACTAAATTGATCCTTCTAAGATCAGTTAATATGTCAGTATACTCTAATTGTTCATGTGCTTCTCAGAACTTTAGTTTCCTTCTACCTTCATGGTAGTAGTGCACAAAGAACTGTTGAACCTTCATATGGTTAAGCGAGGCTTCTTTATGGATAAAATTGATGCAAATTTTATTTAGATCGGCTAAATTAGGCAATTATTTATATGTGAAACATATAAATCTAACTTATTCCATGAGAAGTTAACAATATTACTTCAAGTAAGAATTACAACTAAAAATATTAAATATTTCATATTAGTCTTCAAGCTAATAAATTAACTATTAATCACTTAATTCAACAAGAATTAAAACTTAATACACCACCACTACTACTAATACTTCTAGATAGTAATTTTAAAGACAAAATAAGTTTGTAAGCACATGATTTATGTTCTTCTTCTTCTGGAGAAAGCTTAGAAATTCTTATCCATTCTTACATGTCTTAGCTTCTATGCTTGATATTTAGCAACTTCATGCATGCTTTATTTCATAGTGGTGATATGTAATCATGATCCTTCTAGAGTGTAACATATGCAAAGCCATATATCTGGTTCATAGAGCTATCTAAAATTCTAACTCAACTTCTATTTGAGTGATATCGATGATAAATTCAAATACTTCATGTATTACATTGCTCTTTGATATTCTATACATTTCTTCAAGAATATATATT